TGAGCTACTCTTCTAAACATACCTTCTTCTAATTCTGAAGAGTTGAAAATATGGAAAATTCAGCAGCCCACGCATCACAAAATCAAATTTGGAATGACCAATAGAAAATGGGAATTTCTGTGGTTAAAGAATTTCCTTTTCCACAAGTGTTCAAAAAAAAAAGGAGTGGGGTGGGGTATGGATTCTCATGGCTGGAATGATTCACCTACAGTCCTGTCAGGAAAAAGGGAATAGGTTAGGAAAAAAATGATTCTGCTGAGGCAGATGGCTCCAGGATTCTGCCACCTGAATTCAACTCACCGGACTACAGTTGAAACATTCCTATTCCTTAAATCCCTTCCCTAAGATGTACCTGTCAAGACTAACCCATCCATTACCTGTATATGTACGGCTGAGTCCCTTTGCTGTTCACCTGAAATTGTCACAACATTGTTAATCGGCTATACCCCAACACAGAATAAAAAATTTAAAAATACCAAAAAAAAAGAATAACCCCATCCATTCTGTAAGTTGCAGTTTAAGCAGCAAAGGATTTTTGTTTTTTGTCACTCTTCTCAGGTATGAAATATCAATGAAAGTGATTCTTTTCCCCCTGATCTTCACCAATCAATCAAATTTTGGGTTAAGTCATATTAAAAAGTTAAAAGGCTGGTCTGGAAAACTGTTAATAGGATATGAAGGAAGCTAGAAACATCAGACTGGGTTCCCCCTAATTAACCTATATATAGAATCCTTAAAAGTTCTGTAAACCAGAAGAGAATATTTGTCTCAAATGTATTCAGAAATTGCATTTAAATTGAGGAATTTAACAACACTATTTATCGGGTTACCTTCTTTACACCCTGAAGTGTGTGAAAGAACTTATCGTGAATTTTGGAAGTGGGGAAGACAGAAATAGGAGCATGTGTGTGTCTATAATAGCATTACTTCTATTAAGAGTATAAAAAAATAATTTCACTCAGAAAACAAGTCTTTACATTATTTCGGTTAGATGCTAATCATTGTTAATGACTTCCTGGTCAGCAAATACTCCATTTGGCCCATTTAACATCTGAGTCAGTTAACAAAAAGCACGTGACTCATATTTTCTCTGGACGTGCCCTGCAATCCATGCTTGCCAGGTGCAGTGGCATGCAGTGTTAATACTAAGCACTCAGAAGTACCTTGATGGCTTCTCCGCTGGAGAATTTGCTTTACAAAGTGAACCTGTGACACTCATGAAAAAACACAATGTACAATCGGGCCACAAAACATCTAAAGCAATCTTAAAAACAGCTCTCGTTGTCTTTTTAAAGCAGTCAGCTAACTCACTGGGCCTGGTGCCTCCAGACTAGTATGGTATTGAAAGTATGTATTATTGAATGTCACAGCAAAAGCCCATTTCTTAAGTTAATGCATCTTCTTAATTAGAAAAACCTGAAAGGAACTGTTCATTGATCACAGCGAAGCTTGCTGGCATTTGTTCTTTTCACTGTCTACTTTAGTACACAGAGATGTGAAGAGCAATGTACCAGAGACCTCTGAGGAGAAGGGTAGTTAACAGCGGGCCTATTTACTCTAGGGCTTCCCAGGAGGCTCAGTGGTGAAGAAGCCGCCTGCCAATGCAGGAGACAGGGGACATACGTTTGATCCCTCTGGGGAAGACTCTAGAAAATGGCAACCTACTCCAGTATCCTTGCCTGGAAAATCCCAGAGGAGCCTGGTGGGCTAAAGTCCATGGGATCACAGAGTCAGACATGACTGAGCAAGCACTCACTCTATTATTCTAGTATTCCAATTCTAACTCTAGGGATTGAACTACATTAGGTAAATACAGCATTTCTGATGCCTGATGGTTCTTAGAAAGAGATTTGGATTACGATCTGTTTTTCTTTACAGTGAGTTTGTTAACAATGCAATTTCCCATGAGCCAAGAGTGCTCTGGATACCCCAGAACTTATACAAGTATGTCCAATCAATGCCCCACCCCCACTCCTTTGCATCTAAGGATGACACACTTCTTCCCCTAAGTCAAGACAGCCTGAAAAACAGTCTACTTGTAAGACCTAAGATAAAAATGTTTGTAATCAGAGCAATCCTCAAATACCTACAACTTTAAAAACTCCCATATTATAAGGACCCAAAGGGAGGACAGGCCAAATACACTAGCATTTAAATGGCAGTATTCATGTTAAAGGTATTGTGTTGACTAAAAAGTTCTTTCAGGTTTTTCCTGAAGATGTTACCAGAAAACCCTAATGAACGTTTTGGCCAACTCAATACAGTAAGTACAGACATTTACTGTCAGATAATGACATTAGGTATGATTAAAACAACTTTCAGATTCATCTCAAATTTAACCCAAACATGTTCAGAAGTAAAATGACACTGAAAGTTTCTCTTCAAAATGTAAGAACAAAGGAACCTACATAAAATAGTCAAAGTTGACTGTCATCACTTTTTACTAAAAATGATGACCAGAACTAGGGCAAATCCACCTTAGAAAATCAAGGTACTTAAAAAAAAAAAAAAAACAACTTAAGGACCTGTCTACCTAACTCTAAGTCAAAATTTACTCCAAGCAATATACCATGGCAATTCTCGAAATCTCCAATGCAGAAATGTTGCCCATAGACTCCTATCAGAATTGAAAACTTTTTACAGCACATAATATAGCTCAGCTGGTAAAGAATCCACCTGCAATGCAGGAGACCCTGACTCGATTCCTGGGTTGGGACGATCCGCTGGAGAAGGGATAGGCTACCCACTCCTGTATTCTTGGGCTTCCCTCGTGGCTCAGCTGGTAAAGAATCTGCTCGCAATGCGGGAGACCTGGGTTCGATCCCTGGGTTGGGAAAATCCCCTAGAGAAGTGAAAGGCTACCCACTCCAGTATTCTAGCCTGGAGAATTACATGGACTGTAAAGTCCATGGGGTTGCAGAGAGTCGGACGTGACTTGCACTTTCAATATCTCATGTGTTATCAGCATGGACAGAGCATCTTGTGAAAATTAAAACAAGCAAATCTTTTAAAAGTCAGACTAAGACACTTACCTGAACTCTATCTATCTTAGCAATAGCAAAAGTTCAAGTTTACATGGTTATTTGCTAGCTGGTTTTGCTAGCCAAGGATTAAGTCAGACTTTACTTAGCACTGTATTATCATTATTTACATATAAAAAATGTGCCAAAGAGAAATATTACATGTTTAGTAAAAATGTTTTTAACAAGTAGTTTTAAAAATAAAACTTCACAAAAGTTAAACTTACTAAATGTCTTAAAATTTTTTAAAACTCTGAAGTAGACATTATATTGCATAGTTGGGAAAAAAAAAACCCTCCCCAAAGTCCCTGCCCAGGAAGAACAAGGAGGACATCAAGATGTTCTCAGCAATTTCCTCAACACCAGGAAATGAAAGGCTGGAGATGCCAAGTTTTCATCAGTTTACTTTTTTTCTGAATAGACTTACTTATTATTAACTGATGAAAGATAACACACATATGATATTAAAAAATACAATCTAATGGTTCTACTGTCATGACTGTCAGTTTAAAGCTCAAGTAAGAAAAAGTTCATTTGGTTCCCTAGTTCTCTGAGCGGGGGGAGGTGAGGGGTGCTGGGAATCTATCTAGTGGACCATTTTAGAACTATGTAACTTTTATTTTACATTATTAACATCACTTGCAGGAAGTTGCTTTACTGATTCAGATAATTATATCCTCCAAGGTAATACTATACCCAATTTCATGCTAATAAAAAGTTTCTTTATAAAGAGTCATGTTTCTCACTTCTTCCCACAACTCATTCAAATGACCATTTCAATCATATAAAAATACAAGATGCACTGGGGTCCATCTTAGGGTTTTCTTCTTCTCACAAAGAACCAGCAGATTATTTCCAAGTGCAATTTAACTGAAAACACCATTTCAACTTCAAATTTATTTTAATGATATGTACAGAAGTAAACAAATTACAATTAAAATGGAATCAGTTATGTTCATTACACATAACTTAAAATCATGCAATACTGCATGGTAAAAACAATAGCTTCATTCATATACAAAAGAGCATTATTTTGAGACTCGTGATAATATAATGAAATTTTTGACGTAAGCTTTCGGTAAAGATTATTTCATAAAAATTTAAAGACCTGATTAATCAGTTAATGCATTATTAGGAAAGACAGTAAACATTATTAGTAAAATGAGACTATAAGCAATGAACTTGAAAATTACACCAGGTATGGGGTTGAATGTAGTCTCCTGAAATAAATGTTTGGTTAAGAAAATAGCTTTGAAAAAGATCTCATATTGAAGCTATGTATTAACTTTGTGAAATCAGGTTATATAAATCAATAGTCAAGTTTATTCTGTTAAAGAAAATATGCCTATCCTTTCTTATACTCATAAATAAGTACTTATACAGTCTTTATATACAAGTGAAGAAAAGTTCAATGTAAAAAATATACTGCCAATCCACTTGTTATGGTTGAAATAGCTCTTTATCTACACATTAAATTGCATTGACGAAAATGTCCAATTTAAATCACATTCAACCAGAGTAAATATTTAAGCTGAGTATTTTTGTAAACGAGAGAAAAATAAATTCTTTCATTTCATCACTGGGCCACAATCTACTTCTCAGCTTAGAAAGCTATAGAAAGGCTCAGCATTTAATCAGATCCAAACCTGCTAAACCCGGAGTAAACAAAGTGAATGTTTTCAAAGTGCGTAATTTCCAACTCATCCACTTGTACTGTTTTTCCAATTCCAGTTCATCAGCAAGAAAATAAAATGTACTTAGCTATAAAAAAATACTAAGGAATGTTATTGAAAAGGAAAGGCTATTTGGTAGAAGTAACTACAAAAATAATTAGTTTAAATCTTTGTAAAGCTTTAATGAAAGAACATCAGTACACATTCTTTCCATAAACCTTAAAGCATGATCAATACCAAGATTTCAAATTTCCACCTTTCAAGTACTTGAAAAAAAGTTGTAACAAAGTGTCTCTTCAAAGAATGATCATGCAGGTGTTAATCTGCTGACACTTGGGGACATGGATATCTCTGTTGGGTTGTCATCTCTGCCTCCACTGGCAGTAAGGACAGGCAACGAGTTACTCTGAAATGCAGATGCAGGACAAATAGTCATGCCAACATTTTCATCTTCCCCATTGTCTGAATCCGGTGTTGTAACTTCACTTTCCTGAAGCCCCAGGATCTCACAAACTGCTTGTGGCAACTCCTGAATAAGAAGAACCAAATATAAAATCATCATTCACCATAGAGGAAAAGTAATCACAAATTAATACGTACTATTGAAGGTAACATCAAACATTTGTTCTAACAGTGCAATTGTTATGCACCTTCTCAGGCCTTCCTTCTCCACTTGAAATGAAATCCAAACCACTCTTTTTAATAAGTGGTCTTCTGATCTATTCTGAATTAGCCACTCTCCATCCTACCCCACCCCACCACTCCCACAAACATACTGTTTTCTAACATTTTGCATTTATTTCACTCTTTATTTACGTCATTCTTTTCCCTCAATACACAAATGTTCCTTAAACTTGAAAAGCATCACCAACAAGTTTTGAACAGAATAGCTATCAAATAAATATTTGTAAAACTGAACTAAAATAGGGCTTCCCTGCTGGTTCAGTGGTCAAGAATCCACCTGCCAATGCGGAAGACATAGCTTTGATCCCTTATCCAGGGAAGAGCCCACATGCCATGAAGCCACTAAGCCTGTGCGCCCTGAGTGCTGGGCCTGGGAGCCTCAGTGACTGAGCCCAAGCGCCCCAAGCAGAGGAGCCCCTGAAGGGAGGCGCCTGCGAGCCGCAAGGAAGAGCAGCCCCCACTGTCCTCGACCAGAAACGCCCAGGCAGCAATGAAGTCCCGGTGCAGCCTAAGTATACAGATGCGTAAAATTATAAAGAAAAGAACTGAGCCAAAATAAGTATCTGGAACCATGAACAAATGACACAAAGACTAAATAAGAATTCTCTTAAAAATGTGAAAACCAAAATACACCAAAAGTGTAATACTTTGGTTTAAATTCATGACATAACACCTCAAACTTGCCTTGTTTTTAGAGATAATTAAGAGCCTGACTGATATAAATGTAATGACATTGACCAAATAATATCCATTTAATTATTTCTGATTAGCATGTCCTGACTTGAAGGCACTATATATTCACTATGGGGTCCTATTCTGTGCTCACTACTTTGAAAATATATCGACGACGCTTCTACAGCCTCTCTTGTTGTTGCCAAAGTGTTTTCATTACTTTTATCATTCTGTCTTCTTATTGTCTCCTAGAATAATTATTCAATTGTTTTCAATTAAGTGCTGTAAATCTATAATGGTAAACAAATGTTAGCCAATGCTTTGTGTCTGCCAACAACGTGCTAATTTAACTTCTAAAAAGAAAAAGTTTGTGACCTCAATCCACCAAAATCATACAGACAAAAAAATCTTTCAATTACTTAAAATATTGTATACCTTGCATTTTACCATCTGTAGTGAAATTGCTTCTGCCTTGCATAGTACATCTTCCACACCAATTTTCATGGACAATTCATTGATATGCTAGAATAAATCAATAAAATAATTGAAACTGAAACACTATTATACTCTATTACACAATTTATTACTAGTTATATTCAGTCAGTTCAGTTCAGTCGCTCAGTCGTGTCTGACTCTTTGTGACCCCATGGACTACAGCACGCCAAGCCTCCCTGTCCATCACCAACTCCTGGAGTTTACTCAAACTCATATCCATCGAGTCGGTAATGCCATCCAGCCACCTCATCCTCTGTTGTCCCCTTTTCCTCCTGCCCCCAACCCCTCCCAGCATCAGGGTCTTTTCAAATGAGTAAGCTCTTCGCATGAGGTGGCCAAAGTATTGGAGTTTCAGCTTCAGCATCAGTCCTTCCAATGAACACCCAGGACTGAGCTCCTTTAGGATGGACTGGTTGGATCTCCTCGCAGTCCAAGGGACTCTCAAGAGTCTTCTCCAACACCACAGTTCAAAAGCATCAATTCTTCAGCGCTCAGCTTTCTTTATAGTCCAACTCTCACATCCATACATGATCACTGGAAAAACCATAGCTTTAACTAGACAGACCTTTGTTGGCAAAGTAATGCCTCTGCTTTTTAATAAGCTGTCTAGTTTGGTCATAACTTTTCTTCCAAGGAGTAAGCATCTTTAATTTCATGGCTGCAGTCACCATCTGCAGTGATTTTCAAGCCCAAAAAAATAAAGTCACTCACTGTTTCCCCATCTATTTGCCATGAAGTGATGGGACCAGATGCCATCTTAGTTTTCTGAATGTTAAATTTTAGCCAACTTTTTCACTCTCTTTTATTTTCATCAAGAGGCTCTTTAGATCTTCTTAGTTTTCCTCCATAAGGGTGGTGTCATACTAGTTATATTACACTGTAGATAATATCCTCAAAACAAAATACCCCCAGACTACAAGTAAACAGGAAATTTAATATATCCCTCATTAGATCATTTCAAGTTTTAAAGCTAAGGAACAGCTATTAATAATAAGCTATTGGAACATTAAATCCAGCAGCTGTCCCAAGTCTACTATCTCAAAGTTATAAGCAAAAGAATTACTTTTTTTAGAAAAGTCAACAACATAAAAGAGCATTTGTTGAATTTGCTTCTCTTTCTAATTAGCTAGGAGAAAAAATAACTGGCCAATATGTTCAACTTGCTGAACTGTCATTCTCAGAGAACTTGTCCTAGTATTGACTATTACTGATAAAATTTTAAGTCACTCAAGAGATTCAGTAACACTCAAGGAAATGTTTGTTTTCCAACAAAAAGAGGAAAGAGTCAAAATATTAAAATCTAAATTAAAAGTAAAACTACCTTAAGTATTTCATTAAAGCCATAATGTTTTTCCATTATTTGTTGTTTTTCTGACTCCAGAATAGCACAACAGAGAAGAAGATGAAAATTTTTACATGGTAGTTCAGTCCACATTACCTGTAGAAAACAGAACACATACTTAGTAAACTCTATCAATTCTAAAATATTTTCTTAAAAAAAAAAAGAAAAAAAATAAAATATTTTCTTCATAGATATGATGCTCAATTCTGAATGACTTCTATGCAAAGCAGAAGTTGCCTAGATGGAGTAGTCCATTCTTTTTCTAGTTAAGAAGTGAGATGCAGGGAATGAAAGTCTAAACTTTGCCCACAAACAATAAATGAATTATGATGAATCCCAAACATGTCTCTTTAGGTGACCACAGTTAGTACTGAGCCTAATCAATATGATAAATGGCTAAGGTATAAGCGTTAGAGGTATTTTCAATATTTTTCTGAACCTTCAGTTTTTCACTTTTAAATCATCTTCAGTCTCTGGGGGTGAGGGGAAAAGCTACATCATAGGAATAAAAATGCAGTTATACACTGCATGGAATCAAAAACACCCAGAAGTAGCTCTACATTCTAAGCAACATATTATATAATAAATCAGAATATCTGATTGTGACAAAAACTCAATCAACCACCCAAAATTTATACCCAAAGGTGTACAACATTTGATCATTTCTTCCCAATAAATGTCCTAAAACTTAAAGTCTTAATTTCCTCTGGTTAATGTACTTAATATCTTTTTTAGAAAGATCAAAGACTTGTGTAAACAATATTATTAAAGCATACCAGAAATGTCTTTATTTCTTTTACTAAAAATAAACCAAGTAGAATCATTTTCAGACTAAATCCATTTTTGAAAGTTTAATTCTAATGCAATTAACCTCAAAGATTTCATTAAAAGTCCTAATTTATTTGGTAAACACAGATTAAGGAGTTATTACAACTACTGAAAATGAAGCTGAGATACTAATTTAATGAAACTGATAAACTTTAAAGTACAATTCTAGGTCGAGAACATGTAAGTTTTCCTTCTAATTTCAAACAAAGACGTGTTCCTTCAGTTAATGCATCACCTTCTCTAATGGGAGCACAGCCACCAAAAGTAAGGAATCAACTTCCAGGTGTAAGTGCCTCAGGATACTCACTGTATATTAAGTTCACTTATTATTCAAACAGATTATTTCCCCCATTCTTTCCTTGGGAAAGTTTCTGTCATCTTTACTTTCATAAAGATAAGGTACTGGATGGTCATTATACCAATAGTCTATTTTGAAAGCATACCATCTGTTAACAATTAACAGATATATGAAAAAAAAATAATACTTTTCTGTTTTTCATCAAGAGCTGCCCTGGGTACAAGATGGAATAAAAAGATATAAACCAAAAACATGATCATGAATACTCTCCAGAGTGAAGAAAAGGGTAATGGGGCTTGGGGTGGAGAGGAAAGATCTAAGCTATATCTTTCAATATTTTTTGCCTTGAAAAGAGAGAAAAAACTATTGGATTGGCCAAAAAGTTCATTCAAACACATTTATTTGGCCAACTTGATAGAAGTAAATAAGGCAAAATCATTACATACGTTGAATGCAGATAGTAGCATATTTGTTACATTATTGTTAGTATTTTGCTCTAACTTAAATTTCTTTAAAAAGTAAAACAAAAGTCAGTTCCCTCCCAATACTCCAAACTACAAATAAAGTACCACCTCAACTGACTGGCCTGCCAAAACTTTCTTAACTATATTTAAATCTATACCCAAATTCAGTACAGTCTCACATAATGTACCCCAAGGTCAAATGGTCTACAGAACTGGTTCTGGGTAACCTACTGGCCCCCAGTCTCACAAGGATGTGATCTACAGAAAAAAGTTCCCAAGACCACACATTCAGTTCAACACAGTTTTTAAGGAGAGACCAGAAACATCAGAATTTCAGAACTGGTTTAGAAATTTCAGTCAGGATATTATAATCCATTTATACTCTATAGAAACAAAATGGTTATTTTCATAAAGTATTACATTTTTACAATAATTAAGAACTTACCTCCCATAATCGAAGAATATCTAGAAAACTAAATTCCCTTTTAAATCTGATTAAAAGCCATCTGAAGCAAAAATAAAGGTATCCAGAGTCCTGGGATTCTACAAAAAAAAAAAAAACCCTTATTTTCTCTTACAATAATTATCTCAGAATAGGGTACCTATTTCAAACTCAAATTTTTCTGTTCATCTTAGGCTATTAAAAGTCCTATAAATTTAATTATCTTCTACTAATTCAAGGAAACGATTCAGAATTGCAGGCTAACTTCTTTAAAAGCAAGCCACCAAAAAACAGCTGACTCTCCATATCTCTTCAAGTCTGTGTCTGTGGATTCAACCAATTGTGAATGGAAAATATTTGGGGAAAAGAAAAATTCCAGGAAGTTCCAAAAAGCAAAAGTTGAATTTGCTGCACCTGGCAACTATTTAAAAAGGATTTACATTTTATTTACAAAGCAATTATGTTGTGTGAGGTATAATAAATAATCTAGAGGTGATCTAAAGTATACAGGAAGATGTTCATAGGCTATATGCAAATACCATACCATTTTACATAAGGGACTTGAGTCTCCTTGGATTCTGACATGGGGGTGAGAGTGTATGTGTGTGAGTCACTCAGTCATGTCCAGCTCTTTTCAACTCTGGATCGCAGCCCGTCAGGCTCCTGTCTATGGAATTTTTCAGGTAAGAATACTGTAGTGGGTTGCCATTTCTTCCTCCAAAAGATCTTCGCAACCCAGGGGCAGTAATCACAAATGAGAGATGACTCGTATTTCATAGTATGAATAAACTGTTTTAAGGCCGAACTGTACAAGGGGGACAGTTTGGTCCCACAGTTTTATTCCTCAGAGGAACTCAGGCAACATTGGTGGATTATATAGTCTTTACATTTTTTCTCTCTGCGTATTACCCTACAATTTGTTGAGTATAGCTTTGTTTCACTCAACTCACCTAAGTAACTGCAAAATCCACTGTCCAACAACCGAAGTAAGGTACTTAGCTGAATAAGCTGGGTCTTCATGCCTTGCATCTGCTCTTCGAAATTTTGATGCTTTAAAAAAAAAATATTAAGTAATCTTTAATAAATATTTTACCGTACATAACCACTGATAACTGTGCCATTAAAATAAGGACAAATGTTGTACTTACACCATACTGGTTATATTTTAAAATCACAACTAATTAAAATGCTAAAAGATTATTTTTTCCCACTATTTAAGATAAAGAATAATGCAGACAACAGCAGCTGTAGACTGACTGATAGACTATTCTTATATCAAATAAGAAACCTGGGTGAAAGGAACATACATTTGGGATACAAACTTTTATCAAATCACTTTACTGCTAAATATTTCTTCAAATTAACATAGGAAATAAAATTAATTTTAGCTTTAATATGTGTCCAGTGTTAAAGAATTAGCTAATTATTTCTTATGATTTGATGACATTAAGGAGTCTATGAAGTCAAAACCATTTTCATGACAACAGCAATACTAAAACAATCTATGCATTTTGCACTTTAAATTCTCCCATAATTGTAAAGGCTATAAAAAGGCTATATATTGCAATAGACCGCATATAAGAGCAGATGTGAAAGTCAGCTGTCTCCTATTAAACTAAATACTAAACAGTAAAAGAAAATGAAAACTGGAAGATAATCCCTCTTTTCAGTAAATTGTTTTGGAAAAGTTATTTTTCATTTTTAAAAAATGTATGTAAAATTTCAGAAGGTTTACTGTTATCTCTAAATGAATAAATAAATAAATATCCGGGCTTCCCAGGTAGCTCAGTGGTAAAGAATCCACCTGCCAATGTAGGAGATACAGGTTCCATCCCTGCATTGGAAAGATCTTCTGGTGAAGGAAATGGCAACCCACTCAAGTATTCTTGCCTGGGAAATCCCATGGACAGATGAGCCTGGTGGGCTATAGTTCACCGGGTTGCAAGAGTTGGATACAACTTAGCAACTAAACAGCAAGATATTTATCAGTTTCCTAGAACTTTTCATGACAAACATCAACAGATATAGCCCACAGCAACAGAAGCTCTTAGGACCTGCAATAATATTGCAGAGTGTGAAGAGGCCCTGAGATCATGACGTCTGAGAACTACTGTGGTCTAAATGCTTTAATCTCTGAAACCGAGTAGATTCGCTACCAAAACTCCAGTCACGGTTTTGGGGATGCGGAGGGCACCAAAATAAACGAAAGGTTTCTTATGATTATGATCCCTTTAACCTCATGTTCTAACCCCTTTATGGTGAACCACTGCCCTAATCTTTGTGAAAAGCCTAAGAATAACATCCTTTCCCCCTCACATTTCTCTTTTAGTTTTTGAGACAATGTTTGGTCGTTTAGTCGCTAAGTCACGTCCGACTCTTTGTGACCCCGTGGACTGTAGCTCATCAGGCTCCTCTGTCCATGGGATTCTCTAGGCAAGAATACTGGAGTGGGTTGCCATTTCCTTCTCTAATAATAGTGCTTTATTAGAAATATCTATCAGATTAGTTGGTTAAAAAAAATTAAGGCTACTGATTCTCAATTAACTGGTTTCTCTTTAGTGATCTGAATAGTTTAATTAGCGAAAGAAATGCTTTAATAGACGAACACAAGTTTTTGGGATATAGTTTCTTCACATTTCCCACTGGAAAATAAAAGGGAAAGGCAGGACTAACTCTTTGATTAACAGTATAATTTTTGCTGTGACAAGGCCAAAAGCTTCCACTGTTTTGGAAGTACCAGCATGGCATGGCCACTGCTGCCCACTCTGCTATAAAAAGTAGCACTCCCAAAATGACAGAAGCCAACTTCAGAGAAGTAGCTATTACTGCAGAAAGGAAAAGGAGGTCAACAATGGATATACAAAGGGCTTCAAGTCTAACTATAAATGTGTATATACATTACATATGCATGTACATGTGTGCATACATACATATATGTATATGTACATATATACAGGTATGTGTATGTGTATACACACACATATGTATATGGAAGGGGGTAAGAAGGAAGGGCAAGTTAAAACTATATGGCAAAATGAATGCTGGCTATAAGGAAGTTCATTAGATCATTTTGCAGTTGTTTCTATAATATGGCGATAAGAGACAGAAGTCTATGCCTAGACCAACACTAGATGTGAGTAAATACCAACAAAAGTAAATCTACAGACACTGGATTCAGCCTCCATAAAGCAGTAAAAACTTACATGAAATAAAGCTGTAAAACAAAAAGAAGGAATCAAACAGCAGAAGAGATTCAAGGACACCAAAACAATAACAATGCAGTGGAAATAATTGTGCAAACTATTTTGATTGTAACATACTGCCCTTTCATAATACGAAATGTTTCATGTTATGTTTCACATCATGAAACAAAAAATGTTAGCAGACATTAAGAAATCTTTTTAGAATAAAGACTAGAAATATCCCCAGACCGTTGTCAATGGAAAAGGCATCTACTGTGAAAAAGACAGAACAAAGAACTTGAACCTCCATACACAAAAATGACAGACTATGAAATATGTATTAAAGATGTTCAGAAAGTGGTCTTTACATCTGAGGCCTAAATACATGCACACATATGCATGTATATACATATCTGGCACACAAGATAATACACTTGAACATGCCAGTATTAGCTCTTATGAAAACTATTACTGTAATGAGATGGTTAGATAGCATCACTGACTCAATGGACATGAATCTGAGCAAACTCCAGGAGCCAAAGGAATCTGGAGTGCTACAGTCCATGGGGTCACAGAGCTGAACACAACTTAGCGACTGATTAACAACAGAAAAAGTAAATGCCATACGTTTGTACTAATTCTTAAAAAACCTACTGTAAGCTGAGATCTAAACTAAGCACTGGGGAAATACTCACGTATTTATTTTACAAAAATCTGTTGAACAAACACCTCATGTCAAGCATCAGGAAAATTCTGGCAGCATATCACAGAACGAGTTAAACAAAGGCATGACCTCTTTATCAAACTAGCTCTAGTGAAAAGAGGATAAACAACAAAAACAAGGCAAACAAAACAACAGTTTTTATACAATTATTATCAGTTGTACAGACCTTTATAACAAATGCCTCAGGTTTCTAGAGCGCTTAGGAGTATATGGAACTAAGAAGGCAGGTAAAAATCAACCAATCAAAAAGGTAAGGAAGACAAATTATGATACTACCAGATTACTGCAATTAACAATCTTTCTAAATAATCCAAAAAAATTAATTCATGGTAAAGGACTATATAATTTGAATATGTATTACTTTAATAGTAAAAGAATATTTTAAAACTATCAAATCTTATTAAGAATGGAAAAGAACTAAGCGAAGTAGTGATGAGTTGAAACCATGGAGAAGAGACTTGAGAAAACAGGTAAAACTGAGACAAATTAGAAGGGGAAATAAAAACAGGCAAGGAAGAGAGGAAGAACAGAAGTCATCAAAAAACAGAAGCAATCAAAAAGTTTCACATCTGTATCCCAGACTCTATATAGCAAGGAATCACTTCATATGATTATATATTTGAAATCTTTATCCCCTTACAAGCAAGCCATTTCAATATCCGACCATGAAGGGCCAGCATCAAGTATGTTAATTTTATTCTGAAACAAGCACAGAGACCTACGGAGTCGGGCCTTCGGGTTTCATGTGCTGTTATCTGCTCTGAGCCCCTTTGCTTTTCTTCCCCCTTCCACTTTCTAAAGATTACTTGAGAAGACTGTTCTATTTTATTTTCCTGTTAATACTCTCTGTACTATTGTCCTCGAACTCTGTCTCTAAGATATATCAATGATAACAGATAAAATGTTCTTTGTAATAATATGTATATAGACAGTTCAACTCTAATAATCACATGCTTATGAAAAAACTAAGAAAGTGTCAATGTTACAAATAGTTCAAAAACATCTGGAGAAAAATCAGTCACTATAATGATAAAATCTAAAATGTTCACAAAAGGTAAGGATATTACTTGGCATGACTAAGCTTTATCTCTGAAACAGATGAAATGAAAATACCTCCAAAGAACTGAATCATCTACTTCATCAATATTCTATGACTCATTACCCTTCTGCAGATCATAAGCATTTACCAATATTAAATCCTGATTATTCCTATTCTATAGGCACTTACTATCTACTTTTAATATTAAAAATAGTACCAGCATTTCCAAGCCTCTTGAAACAAACAAACAACAGAGCAATTTGTTTAAAATTCTACCATGACTGGCTAAATATAAACATCCATCTTATATAGTAAGATTATTATATAACTAAAATATTCAAAATTAATTTGATTAAAGGAAGGAGTCTCTGTTCTTACCATTTGGTCCATGTAGGAGGCAAAGCACCAAAAGGCATCCACTTCATTTTCCATCACATATAACAGAGGTGAAAGTAAGTCACTCATTCCTTGTACGTAGCCTTAAAAAAAACGAGAAAAACTAATCATACCTCTAAAAACCTAAACTTTCTGTATCCATCTATGCGTATCTCCACCAACTCTTTCGGGTTTCACAGACTTGTGTATACTGATGTTCTTAAACAATGAGAAGGATATCTAGCAACCAGGTGAGAAATGGGAGGTGCTTGAGAGGTCAAGCAGATATGTAACTGCTGTGTGTCTCAGTGTAGATGTCACTCACTATCAGGAGAGGATAATACTAAAACTTATGTGCAAAAGCATTATGATAAAGACGGATGACGGGAAACCCAGAGGAACATCAAACTGAAAAGAACACAGCCAAAGAAGATTTGTGAGAGAAGAGTCAAGGAGAAAGGGGGAAAGCAAGGGAGAAGAATGCTGTAAAAGTCAAAGGGAAAGAAGTTGCAAGGTCAGAGTGGACACCACCACCAAACTGCCATGAATAAGCCAAGTGAAATAAGAACTAAAAAAGGGTCCAACTGATTTAGCAACCAGACATCGGTAATCCACACAAAAATAACCACAACAAAATCACCTCTTTCAATTTCTCTTTTTTTCCTTTTGCTGTTACTCTAACCCAACCAATGCTAGCAAATGGATTTAATCCAATCAATATTTTGTATGTAAAACTACCATTTCAACCATCTTTCTCTTGACGATCTTACAATTTCTCAATCATGACACTAATTTAAAGCTCTTGATTAAAAGAAAAATTGGAAAGTTAAAGAAGCAGGTCCCTCCCTTAAAAAACAGAAAGTCTTAGTTTTGCTTTTCACCAGACCATGTCAAAAGTCTTATTTTTTATATTTCCATCTTATAAAATCCTCAATTTTCTTAACTATTTTACAATTAGATTTCAGACTTAAAATAGAGACTTGAATGAACCAAGGGACAAGAGCTCTTACAAAGCCTTTTCACATACATATTATCATTCAACTTTGGTAACTTGTGTATTTGTTAAAGTTACACAGAGATGTTTTTCCCCAATGATAGTCTGAGGAAAACAGGCTTTCATTTGCAGAACCAAAACTTACATTCTGATTATTCACCAAAATCTATGTGAACTGAAGTCATTTAAAACAGTATGCTTATTTTTAAAGGAGAGGGGATATTTCTGAAGAAATTATACATAATTTTACATCATTCTTCCTATTTTGGAAGAAAGCTTAAAAAATGACCCCAGGAAGCAGGTAAGCCAAAATCTCTTAAGAAAATTTGGGTTAAAAGTGTAATAAAGACACCCAGTTCACTTCAGGATCTCCTTACAAACAAAAGTCTAGTTCTATCTGCTATTAGCCTCTACCCTGTCATCTACCGTTATGCCTAATCCCTACCAACCTCACTATGTCTACACTACACCCCATGGAAAAGTATGGTTCCATGCACATTAGTGCGCATGCACGCACACATACACAAACTTGGGATCCCCTTGCCAAACAATGGAGTTACCAAGACATTTAGAGAAAAGAGCTAGAAAAAACGGCTATGACATGATACCTAAACATAGCATATAAACAAATTTATTGCAGATGCTTTTTTAAAAAATAATACACACTTGTGATGATGAATCCTGTGCATCAATTTGAGTGAGCCACAGGATGCCCAGATGTCTGGTTAAACATTATTTCTGGGAGTATCTGCAAAGGTTTATCTAGAAGAGATTAGCACTTGAATCGGTGAACTGATTAAAGCAGAAGGCTTTCAGAAATGTGAGTGGGCATCACCCAATTCACTGAGGGCCTGAGCAGAACACAAAGATGAGGCAGGCTGAATGTGCTCTCCGCCTGGCTGCCTGACCTGCGACCTCTATCTGCCCTGAGTGCTCCTGGCCTCGTACCTTCAGACTCAGGAATGAGGCCTATGCCACGGCCCTCCTGCTCTCAGAAGGCTTTAAACCACACCGCCAGCTTTCCTGGGTCTCCAGCTTAGAGATGGCAGGCTGGGAACCTTTTGGTCTCCATAATGACATAAGCCAGTATCTTATAAGCAATCTTTTTTTCTTTCTTTCTTTCCCTGGCTAAAACAAGATTTTTCTTAAGTAGGTCAGAAGGAAGACTAGACTGTTATCATCAAAAGTTTCCTACATGGAAATGACACAGTGAAAGCAATGACAAACATAAAGGCTAAACCAATCAAAGCATGAAGGAAATTTATCTGAATTCAACAAAGTGCAGAAGAGTACCACTTTACTGGGTCTGACTACCTATAGTCTATAATAGAACTATTTCAAAGTGTGCTATTCAAAAGATTTACAAAGCACCTTTCTTCTGGGGGGAAATGAGTTTTATTATAAAGTTATAATGAATAAAAATTTCTAAGAAGCTAATTAAATCCATTAAGTCTTCAGCTTTCATACCAGATCAGTACTGTATTTCTTCTGTAGTTTTAGTTAAATCAACTAGTCAAATTATTCTTCATACTCTTGTTGCTTTTCATCTATTTTATACATGATGTTCTTTGGGGTATATCATGAGTTGTGGGGGTGGAATTAATGTACAAATTCCTTTTAATTAAAGAAAGATTAAAGCTGTTTAAATTAGCATTCAGTGATGTTCAGATTCTGTACTAGCGCTGACTGATGTGCATCTTAATCAGTACTACTACAATGTCTGAAGAAGGTCCCCTAAATTATTTTCATAACAAAGTTGTTTCAGTTGGGAGGTGTTAAAAATGAACTCCTTATCATCCTAATGCACACATTCTTAGAGAGAAAATAAAGAGTTCATCTTTACATAGGTCAATTTTCCAGGTTAACTGAAGCTTATTCAGCTATTAGAGAATAAAATTTAAAAAAAAAAAACTTAAGCATTTGAAATCATTTTTTTTCTACTGGACACACTCCTGCCTTCTTACATAGAGTATTCTGAGTATAATTTAACCTTCTGTTGTTTATTCAGGATCATGATTATAAACATACACTGTAGGAAAAAAAAATAGGTACCTCCCACAGAAACACCTTAGGTGTACCCTCTGCACTAAGTAAAAGTTACTCTTCCTTGAGTTCTTCTATCTGCTTTTGGTAATGTTTGTTTTCTGTATGCTTTTGATGGTTTTTGCCTTCCTCTTCACTACTAATGAGATTGTATTAAATGCAAACACACCGATACCTCATCTGTGGGCTAAGAGGTCAAACAACTCAATATGACAAAATCAACTACAAGAGTAAACTTACAGCCCAGGTTACTTTACTGTGAGTAAACAGCAAGACAGTGGGGGAGCTGGTGAAGGATCCACCTGTTCAATGCATGAGATGCAAGAGATGCAGGTTCAATCCCTGGGTCAGGAAGACCCCTGGATTAGGAAATGGCAACCTTCTCCAGTATTCCTGCCTAGAAAACTCCATGGACAGAGGAATCTGACAGGCTACAATCCACAGAATTGCAAAGAGTCAGATATCACTGTCTGCTACTTCAAATCCATGTCAAACAGCGAGCAATTTGGTCCAGGGCTTTATGAAAACTACCCTGGCTTCTTTCAAGGCCAGAGTTCTTAATAAAATCCCTGGGTATGTTTCAGATAACTTAAGTATCCAACCAGAAAGAATGTGGGGTTAACATAGACAAATGGAAATAGCAATTTGTCCTAATAGCTTGTCTGTGACTCAATGCCTGGAAAAACTGAGCATTCAGGAATGACTTCTGAGAATATACATTCATACTTCACAATTGCCACTGGAGAGGATGCCTCCTGTTCTCCACAATAAAGCCCCTATTTCCAATAGTGGTTAACAGAGATTGACATGGCAATGGGTCAGGGTGCTGAATGTGTGGAGGTACGAATGCCAGCCTGGAAAATGCCCTGGTGGTCCAGTGGCTAAGGCTCTGTGCTCCCAAAGCAGGGGGTCCTGGGTTCAATCCATGGTCAGCTAACTAGATCCCCATATCCTGCAACCGCCAAGTAAATAAACAAAAACATTTTTAAAAATGCCAACCTGAAATAAAGAGCTGGGCCTCTACCCCCAGCCCAGTATTTACTATTTATGCAGCCCTGAGTCACTCTCTAAATCACTATAACTTTATTCATACAACTGGGATTATTAATCCACTTCTTAAAAGAGGCTGCTAATACAATCAAAATTGAGCAGGACAACACTCGGTAACCTGAGAAGCACTCCAGTCCCTAGTATTTTCAGCGATCCAATGTGAGGTTCATTATAGGTGTGACCCGACAGGACTGGGCACATTTCACATTTTAAAGAGAAATCTGAGATACTCACTTCCTGTCATAAGAAGATGATGCTGCAAGATCCTCAGGAGTTTCATCTTTCCCTAACCCACATATAAGAAGCCAGGAAGAATTCTTGGTTCATAGATACAAACAGTGAAGAAAATATACTCGCAATTCAAGGTTCATTTGGGTTTAATATGACAAATACTCAATTACCTTCTCCAAAAGAAAGTCTTAAGTTCTATTAGAGTAATCTGGAAACATCTACCCTCACTATCCTCTACTGGGAGTCACTAACATCAGTAGGTAACTCAGAAACTTGTTCATTCTTTATACGCACTTAAAGGTAGATGCTTAGGGAGTTTATTGGTCCCTTAAAGAAACAGCTCAAGTCCTCTTGTCCCTTAAAATACTGTTTCCTCAAGTTTTCTAGCCCTTAGCATCACTTTCCCATGCAATCCCCCACTTCAACCTCCACTGCTAGTCTTTCCAACCCATTCCTGGTAGAAAGCCGACTAACCAGGAAAAAAGAGTGAAGTTTCACATGCCCTAGATAATTATCTGCACCTCTTATCTATGATATCAAATCAGCATTTTTCTTCACAAGGGAGAAAGCCTATCAAAAAAAGGTTTCCAAACTTTCTCAAGTCACAGTACGCCTCAGAAATTTTTTTCCACAGCATCCCAGGTTCAAAAATATTAATAACATTTCCATTAAACATATCCAAACAACTTAATAAATATTTACATCCTATGAAATTTAGGACCTGTTGGGCACCACACTACATCTCAAACTTTGGAATCCAATTGGATACCAACATCCTCATCTATTTTCTCACAGTACTTGCTTATCACAGCAAAGTAAAAAACTCTCTTTTGTAAACATAACTTCATCAGAAGGAAGGAATGTGGTGATTTAATGCTGAAACCCTGAACTACTCCAGCTAGTAGTTAGAGCAGTGTCCTACAGATGCCCCTCTATTTCCCTCAAATATTTAAAATATCCGACATCAGTCCCATGAGTTTGCTGCAGCAACCCAGTGCTCTCTGGTGCACAATTTGTGAACCACAGCCTTTTAAGTTTCCAGTCCCCAGTAGAACAACCCCTATAAAAACTACATCACAGAGCTTTTTACATACGTCTAGTTAAATTCTAAATTAAACATACATCTTTAAATTAGGGTATTAGAGAAGAACTTACCTAAATCAAAATCATACATACAGTAGGTCATCAAAATGTCATGAAGCAAAATCAACCCTGGATTATCTTGACCTTCATAAAACTTGTTTGTTCGATCTGTTCTGTTAACATCTTTTTCTGAGAAAGAAAATCACATATTTGAAAACTTTTAGAATGACAGATTTTTATAAAGCTCGTATCTTATAAGTAGAGTTATTTTTCTTGTTATTAATTTTACTCTCTAAGCTTTTACTTAATGAAAAAGTTCATCAAATTCCATTTCAGATAAGCAATAAAGCTAACATTTTGAAATTTTTTTCCAGTCAGTCCACCTCCTCTTGGGTATATTTTAAAATACTTTTCAATTTTTATCTAAACAGAAACCTTTCAATTGAATAGTAGGAAATATTTTTGATTAATTAAAACCAACACCAAGTATTAATAGTTCACATTAGTTAGCAAAAAAATGCCAGTCATGAACACATGTGATAGGCAGTAGTATCTGAAAACAGTAATGAAAAAAGTTAATATGCAGTCAAGTGTAATCAAAGAGATTTGTTTTCATAATTGCTTCATTCATTATAGGAAGTATTATGTTCCATAATCATCTCTAGGACAAACTACTTCTGTATCCTCAATATACATTATTCAGTTTATAAAAGCAATCTATTTTAATTCTGAAAAAATGAAAATCCATTTTTCTGAAAATGATTTTAAGACACTAAAAAAAGATCCAGAAACATCACCAGAAGTATATCTCAACTGGTACCTGCTGCTGTTGCTGCTAAGTCGCTTCAGTCGTGTCCGACTCTGTGCGACCCCATAGACGGCAGCCCACCAAGCTCCCCCGTCCGGGATTCTCCAGGCAAGAAAACTGGAGTGGGTTGCCATTTCCTTCTCCAATGCGTGAAAGTGAAAAGTGAGAGTGAAGTCGCTCAGTCATGTCCGACTCTTCGCAACCCCATGGACTGCAGCCTACCAGGCTCCTCTGTCCATGGGATTTTCCAGGCAAAAGTACTGGAGTGGGCTGCCATTGCCTTCTCTGACAACTGGTACTTATTAGATGTATATTGCTGTGAAAGACCTTACAATTAAAAAGGAATTCCTCAATTGAATCCCTCAGTAAATTAAGAAAAAATAATGTAAAGAAATTTAAAGTGATTAACCTACTCTATAATCAGTTTTGTTTAAAACTAATAACTGTTCTCTTCCCCATCCCTGCCCCATAAACGGAATAATCTGAAAACATTCTCAATTAACTGTTGTGAAGAGATGAGGAGGTATTTTACAACAAAGCAGAATCTAACACAGCATGAGTTTAGATTCTGTAAGAGTGTTTAAAAAATCATAAGGACAATAGTCTAGCTTTCTGCTAAAACATACTACACTTGATTCAATAAATATAAGCACCTATCTATAGAACACTATGAAGACATTTTCAAACAAGGAAAAGCAACACCAATCATGCTATAACTGTCAAATTTCATTTAAAAACATCTTTCATTCTCATATCATGGTTGATAAAGATAAGTTTTTATTAACTCAAGCACAATTTACATAGTCATAATGGCAACATAGAATTTCTTTCCTTACAGGTGTTTTAAACACAGTAAAAAATTATTTGTGCCATCAAGAACTATCTGTTATTTCTTTCCTCTTGTGTATTTAGTAGACATGCCAGGAAGAAAACAAAAAGGTATCAAAAATGATACAAGGAAAGTGTTTCTAGAAAGAAAACGAGCACTGAATTTTTTTTTTAAAGTCCTCATTAAATCCAACTCTAACCTGATGCAGCTAAGACTGAAGAAAAGCACAACTATGCAGACCGATCCGTTTTACATTCACTATTACTAACCAGAAGTGGATCCTGCCTGGCAATCATGCTCTACTTCCTTCATGCGTCCCCTTTCTTCTCGTATTATTTTACATCTTCCCTCCACACCTCAGCTCTGAGGATCTTGCTTCCTATCTCTGAGAAAGTGAAAGTCATCCAAAGAGAACTCCATAGATTCCTACTACTTTAACCATACAACAGCCTCTGGACTCCTAGTCTCCCTTCTCTATCATATTGCTACAAAGCTTCCATGATTGTCGCTACAACCAAATCCCTCCTCTTGTGCACAAAAGCCATGCCCTATTGGCTATTCAAAGATAAGGTCCCAGTTAATTCTTGCCTCGTTTTATTGTTTCATCCAGCATTCAACCATACAATTGCTTCTATCATCATAAAAATCTTTCTTAATCTTACTCTTCCCTCTAATTGCGGCCCCATTTTCTCTGGTTACAGCAAAACTACCTGAAAGAACTGTATATACTGTCTCCATGTCCTCTCTTCCCATTCCCTCTCGAACTTGCTCCAATCAGGTTGGCACATCCACCACTCCACCAAAATGCCTTTTCCATCAAAATTTTTAGTGATCTCTTTATCACTCTGCTCAACAGTCAATCCAAGTTTTCATCTTATTTAACATCCCAGTCACTACTTTCTGAAACGCTTTCAGTTGTTCAGTTCAGTTCAGTCACCCAGTCGTGTCTGACTCTTTGCGACCCTATGAACCACAGCATGCCAGACCTCCCTGTCCATCACGAACTCCCACAGTCCATCCAAACTCATGTCCATTGAGTGGGTGATGCCATCCAACTATCTCATCCTCTGTCATCCCCTTCTCCTCCCACCCTCAATCTTTCCCAGCATCAGGGTCTTTTCAAATGAGTCAGCTCTTCACATGAGGTGGCCAAAGTACTGGAGTTTCAGCTTCAGCATCAGTCCTTCCAATGAACACCCAGGACTGATCTCCTTTGGGACTGACTGGTTGGATCTCCGTGCAGTCCAAGGGACTCTCAAGAGTCTTCTCCAACACCACAGTTCAAAAGCATCAATTCTTCAGCGCTCAGCTTTCTTTATAGTCCAACTCTCAAATCTGTACATGACTACTGGAAAAACCATAGCCTTGACTAGATGGGACACTTGTTGACAAAGTAATATCTTTGCTTTTTAATATGCTGTCTAGGTTGGTCATAACTTTCCTTCCAAGAAATAAGCATGTTTTAATTTCATGGCTACTATCACCATCTGCAGTGGTTTTGGAGCCCAAAAAAGTAAAGTCAGCCACTGTTTCCCCATCTATTTGCCATGAAGTGATAGGACCAGATGCCATGATCTTAGTTTTCTGAATGTTGAGCTTTAAGCCAACTTTTTCACTCTCCTCTTTCACTTTCATCAAGATCAAGAGGCTCTTCACTTTCTGCCATAACTCTATACATGGACATCACCAGATGGCCAACACCAAAATCAGACTGATTATATTCTTTGCAGCCAAAGACAGAGAAGCTCTATACAGTCAGCAAAAACAAGACTGGGAGCTGACTGTGGCTCAGATCATGAACTCCTTATTGCCAAATTCAGACTGAAATTGAAGAAAGTGGAGAAAACCACTAGACCATTCAGGTATGACCTAAATCAAATCCCTTATGATTATACACTGGAAATGAGAAATAGATTTAAGGGACTCAATCTGATAGACAAGAGTGCCTGATGAACTATGGACGGGGGTTCGTGACATTGTACAGGAGACAGGGATCAAGACCATCCCCGAGGAAAAGAAATGCAAAAAACAAAAGGGCTGTCTGAGGAGGCCTTACAAATAGCTGTGAAAGAAGAGAAGCCAAAAAGCAAAGGAGAAAAGGAAAGATATGCCCATTTGAACACAGAGTTCTAAAGAATAGCCAGGAGAGATAACAAAGCCTTCCTCAGCAATCAATGCAAAGAAATAGAGGAAAACAATAGAATGGGAAAGACTAGAGATCTCTTCAAGAAAATCAGAGATACCAAGAGAACATTTCATGCAAACATGGGCTCAATAAAGGACAGAAATAGTATGGACCTAACAGAAGCAGAAGATATTAAGAAGAGGTGGCAAGAATACACAGAACGACTGTACAAAAAAAAATCTTCACGACCCAGATAATCATGATAGTGTGATCACTCCCCTACAGCCAGACATCCTGGAATGTGAAGTCAAGTGGGCCTTAGGAAGCATCACTACGAACAAAGGTAGTCGAAGTGATGGAATTCCAGTTGAGCTATTTCAAATCCTAAAAGATGATGCTGCACTCAATATGTCAGGAAATTTGGAAAACACAGCAGTGGCCACAGGACTGGACATGGTCAGTTTTCATTCCAATCCCAAAGAAAGGCAATGCCAAAGAATGCTCAAACTACTGCATAATTGCACTCATCTCACACGCTAGTAATAGGCACTAAGTAAATATTTATTAAATGAATGAATATATGATTGTTTAAAATAATCAATATGATTTCTAAAAAGACCCCTGGTGATTCTAACATGCAGTCAAAGTTAGGAAACAATGCTCTAAAGACTCGGATTCCTGCCTCTCTTTTTTTCCCTAGGTGATATCATCTATTACCATGGATATTTATATTAATAACCAAATTTATATAACCTACCCAGACTATTCCAGATTACTGCCAATTGACATTCCATTTCTATGTCCCACCTTAAGATATATATGTAACATCTAATGCAATTTCACTATACCCCATGCCAACAACAACTCCATGCCAACAACAACACTATACTTTGCCAACAAAGGTCTGTCTAGTGAAAGCTATTGTTTTTCCAGTAGTCATGTATGGATGTGAGGGTTGGACTATAAGGAAAGCTGCATGAAGAACCGTGGTGTTGGAGAAGACTCTTCAGAGTCCCTTGGACTGCAAGGAAATCCAACCAGTCCGTCCTAAAGGAAATTAGTCCTGAATATTCATTGGAAGGACTGATGCTGAAGCTGAAACTCCAATACTTTGGCCACCTCATGTGAAAACTGACTCATTTGAAGAGACCCTGATGCTGGGAAAGAATGAAGGTGGGAGGAGAAGGGGACGACAGAGGATGAGATGGTTGGATGGCATCACCAACTCAATGGACATGAGTTTGAGTAAACTCTGGGAGTTGGTGATGGACAGGGAAGCCAGGCATGCTGCAGTCCATGGGATCACAAAGAGTCAGGCACGACTGTGCAACTGAACTGATACTCCATGCATCTCAGTGAGTAGCACCACCAAATGATCAATTTCTCAAGCCAAGAAATGTAGTCCCATCCCTGATTTCTCACAAAGT